CTTTAATCTGTACAGAGATGCAGATCTCAGTGTTAGGGAAAAGACTATATGGGTAAGAAGCAGGAGATTTTCTTTGGAAGACCTTGCAGTTCATCAGCTTCTCAAAGTACATGGGTTTGTGAATGCACAACCCATTAAATAGGTTCAGGTAACAGTCTGAACTAAAAGAGGTGAAAAATCTCTTACATTGGTCAAGATCTAAAAGAGCTGGAGTTGCATAGTAACTAGAAGGGAACTGGCAGAGGAGAGGTGGCAGCAAAGCTGTGGTGGTGACTCCTGGTGGTGTGAAGGAGCAGTGGAGACTCATGGTTGTGGCAGAGAGGAGTGGTGACAACCTCTGGTAGCAATCTGGAGGAAAAGGGGTGACCTTGGTGGTGGTGGCCAGAGCAACAATCAGCAGCAACAACCTCTAGCAGTGCTCCCCAAGGGCCAGAGCAGCATTCCCCTGCAGCATACCCTAGCTGTGCTCCCCAGCTTCAGTGGCAGCAACCCCAGTGCAGACCTCCCTACCCAGCACTTTATTCTGGCTACTTTGGTACTTTGGCTGGTGGAGGCAGTAGAGTCTCTGGACAGGAACTCTGGGAGAGTCTCCCTTCCCAACTGAGTGGGCTAGGTGGTAGCTCCCCTGGGCTGGTTTGCCAATGACTGAGAGCATTAATTGGGTTTCAATTAATGTATAATAGTGACATTCATCTCTAAGGTTGTATCCTACTGCCCTTGTAATAAACCTTGTTTTAGGTGAACATTGCTTACAGATGGGGAAGTTTATTCACTTTAGAACACCCAGTTAAAAATTGCTTTCCCAGGTTTCTGGGTGAGGGCTTGAGCCAGTTTTGGAAAGCTGGTATTAAAATAAATTTGAAGTAAGCCCTTGCTAGTGCTGTCCCATGTCTATCAGAAGGGTTACACATGATAATGTAAGTAATAACTGCAGTTGTAATCTATTTATCTGTTCTATTTTTACTGGTTTTTCCCTACCGTTCTATTTTTACTGGTTTTTCCCCACAAGATTTTTCCTTTCTACTCTTCTTTTGCTCAGATTTTTTTCCAATCTTTTCTAAACAGAATATAAGCCAAACAGGTTGAAATCAACAATAAACTTTCAAACCTATAGAGTTCCAATAGATTCAGATTTAGGCAAAATAAACTTACTAGCCATTAAAATTACATTCTAGCTATAAAAATTCTCTCTAGCAGTTTCAGTTACAGCATTTTTACACCAATTCCTAACATACTGTATCTGCTGCTGTGCATAATAAGCAGTCATATTCTACCCCATAGGTGGCTTTATTTCAGTGATGAGTGAACTTATTTTTTAATCACATAACATTTGTAAAGAATTTAGGTAAACAACCATTATGGATAATAATAAAGCTGCTTCAAGTTTTCAGAAATGAAAACCCAGTTTATTAGTTTACTACAGCCAGGTCTGCCCATTCACAAAAGTTTCTAACCTGTTTACAGGACCTTCACCTAACACAGGAGGCAAACATTCCCACTAGGGGAAATGACTTGATGCTGGCCAAAGGGGATGGCTTGGCAGGGGATCTGCAGGTACAAGGTAATTTAGGGGATAGTGACCACCTATTGATAGAGTTCACTATCCAGCAAAAGGTGGGAAAATAACTAGTAGGGCTGAAGTGCTAGACTTCAGGATGGCCAACTTCAACAAGCTGAAGAGATTAGTTAGGGAGGGACTTATAGGCAAAAGCATTGGAGAGATGGGAGTCTAAGAAGGGTGGGCATTTCTCAAGGGACTGATCCTGCAGGCACAGAAAGGGACCATCCCAGTACACATAAAGGGGGGCAAAAGAGCAAAGAAACCCTCTTGGTTGAGCAGAGAAATCCAGGAGAGCCTGGAGGCGAAAAGAGAGGCCTACAGGCTGTGGAGGCAGGGGGTAGCCACCAAGGAGGAGTATACTTGCTTGGCTCGAGCTTGCAGGGAAGCAGTGAGAAGGGCCAAAGTAGAAATGGAGCTTAGGTTGGCAGCAAAAGTTAAAGATAACAAAAAGTCATTCTTTAAATACATAGGAAGCAAAAAAAAAGTGCAGGGTAACATAGGGCCCCTTCAAGATGGACTAGGGAAACTGGTAACAGATAGGATGGCCAAAGCAGAGCTCCTAAATTAGTTCTTTGCATCTGTGTTCTTGGACATGGATACAAGCATGCATCCCAATGACACTTTAGGTAAACATGAGATAGATACCAACCCACCAATTGTTAGCGCTGACCTAGTAAAGGAGCACTTGGAGGGGTTGAATGTATTTAAGTCTACAGGCCCTGATGATCTTCATCCTAGGGTACCTAGAGAATTAGCTGGAGTCATAGTGGAACCACTGGTGTGACTGTTTGAGCACTTGTGGTACTCAGGACAGGTCCCGGAGGACTGGAAAAGGGCCAGTGGACAGAACAGAATAGGATGCAGTTTAACAAAGATAAGTACCATGTGTTGCACCTAAGGAGGAAGAATCAACAACACACCTATAGCCTGGGAGGTACCATTCTAAGTAGCACAACTGTGGAAAAGGATCTCGGAGTTGTAGTTGACTCCAAAATGAACACGAGGAGCCATTGTGATAAAGTAATATGTGATGCTAAGCATACTGTTTCTTGCATAAGTAGGTGCATCACAAACAGGTCTAAGGAGGTGATACTTCCCATCTATGCAGCACTGGTCAGGCCCCAGCTGGAGTACTGCATCCAGTTTTGAGCACTGCACTTCAAGAGGGACGTAGATAACCTGGAAACAGTTCAGAGGAGGGACACCCAGCTGGTTAAAGGCCTACAGGAAAAACCCTATTAGGACAAATTGATGGACCTGAATCTCTTCAGCCTCCACAAGAGAAGGCTGACAAGTGACCTTGTGACCATCTACAAACTCATCAGGAAGGGACAGCAGGAAATAGGGGATACAATGTTTACCAGGGTGCCCATCGGGGTAACTAGAAACAATGGCCACAAACTGAAGGAAAGCAAGTTTAGATTAGACATCAGGCAAAAATTCTTTACAGTGAGGGTTGCCAAAATATGGAATACGCTTCCAAGGGAGGTGGTACTGTCCACTTCCTTGCAGGTATTTAAGAGGAGATTGGACAAATACCTGGCTGGGGTCATCTGACCCCAACACTCTGTCCTGTCCAGGGCAGGGGGTTAGACTCGATGATCTAATAGGTCCCTTCCAACCCTAAAATCTATGAAATCTATGAGATCTACATTCCCCACAAAAATACTAATAACAAGTCATGCTTATTTAGAAAACATTTTATCCAATTTCAACTGGAAAAGAACCAATGAAAGAGACCAGAAGCAATTCACTGAGGTAAGTATCTATAAAATCCATTTCTGCCATGAAAATGAACCAGAAAATATTTTGGGAATTTTTTAAAACTGTCAACCACAATTACCTTGTGAGTGTTCTATTATCATATGAAATGTAAGTCTCTTTATTTTTAATTTAAAATAAAACATTTTCCCAAGTGCTCTAATATTTTATTTTTATTTTAAACCTTTTCTGTTTTACTTTTACCAAATATGTTCATATTTGTTAAATGTTCCTCAGTGTATCCAAGGAAGCACTTTAAAAATATTATCTTAGAACCCTCATTTGAAGAACTCTGCTGTTAAGGCATTTTTTTGTAAGAAATGGGCCTGGATGAAACACATTCTTCTTAAGAAAAGGGACTGGACTTGTGTCCACCAGAAATGTCTTGAAACAGAAAACTAGTTGTTCATGGCAGAGTCACAGAGTAAAAAAAAAACAGTCTATATGCATATCTTCCTAAAGCTTATCATCCTCTCAAAGTTTAGGGAGGGTCAACTGCAGAGCTTGTGATTGTGTCAGCCTGCTTCTTGTGTGAACAGCTTCTGACAACTGCATCCTGCCTTGAAAGCCAGAATTTTCCACTCTTTCCAGGTTTTGATCTGTGGTTTTTCAGCATGGGTAAAACAGCTGTGTAACTCTGGAGCCCAGAGAAGTGGGCTCAAGTATTTCTTAAGCTAATCTGAGCTTCATTGGGGGTACATTTTCTCTGACTCTGTATTACACTCTCGGTTGTTTCCCACAAATCCTGCTCTTTTCTAAACTAATACATGAATACAATAAAATAATTCCATGTACCATAATATACATATAATATAAATCAACAGGTTAATCATGGGACTTTAACAATAATCATATCCAATAAATTCAACAAAGCTTGCAGATGTTTATTGAAATGCCAAAGGCTAAAATCTTCAAGACTTCACTTCAGAAGGCTAAAATCTTGAGATTAAGGTTTTACTATTAGCAAAAATTAAGAAATCTGGCAATAGCATTGAAATAGAAATGAGAACTGTAATACCATATACACAAGGAAACACAGCCCATATTTACAAATGTGTCCTGGGGTTTTTTTCCTGCTTTCTTGATAAAAGTAAGCTATAATTATAAATTATTTTCTAAGCGAAATTGAGCAGTGATCACTGCATCACCAGAGTAATGCAAACCAGCTAATAATTGGACCCACAGTCCATTTCATAAATAACCACTAACAAATCTTTTGTGCTTTGATCTTTCTTAATAGCCTTCCTGAAATTTGAAGAAAGCTTTACTGAAGACCTTTACCTAAAGTGAATATTAAGGAAACACATATGGTCATTTTTAATTGATTTGTAATATTTCACTTTACTTTTTCCATTTAATTTATTGCTAATATTTGAAGCCAAATCCTTAAGTATTAAAACAAAATCAATAACATTGCTGTTATCCAGCATCTATATTACAACTAACTATAGATTATAAATCTATTTCTGCTGCTAATATATTTTCTTGCTTGCCTATGGGACCTTAGATACTGTACATTTTTATTTTATTTTATCATAGATACAGACTGTAGGTAAGCTGAAACCTGAATAAGTGAAAAGAGGAGGAAACATTTTGTTTTCTTGACAGGTTAAATAAGAAAACACTCTAAATTGTCACGTGTTCTACATTCAAATAGTTTTAGTTTACGTTTACTTACCAAACCCTCACTGGGCATAATGCTGGTAAGATGAACTACTTCTAGATGTGCTGACTGAGACACCAGAGAATCAGATGAGAGAGAAATGATATGATCACAGATCCCAGACAGAGTTTTACACTAAAAAAAGCAAGAAAAATAATTATAAGAGCTTACAGCAAAGTGACAAACTGCTAAAACCATCTTCAATTTTAATACTGGAGACATTGTATTTACTTTCTAACGTATTTGAGCTACAATAGCTAATAATTCTTACTATAATAACAAATAGAAAAAATGAGAAATGAAACCCTTTATTAATCAAGGCTAAGTACACAAGTTCAAAAAGCCCTTGCTTTCGTTATCATATTTTACTTAAAGTGCTCTAAGTTAGAGCA